TTTTACCTAACCCGCTTTTCTTTAACAATAATAAATTATATGATAAATAGTCATGAGTGTGGATAAAATTTCTATCTTTCTTTTCAAACTTAATACAATAAATGGAGGGCATCGGGTTGGAAGACGTTTAATTGTATAGGAGTTACACGAAATTGTAAAAGTTGGTGCAATAAAAATTGAAGTTGAAAAGATAGAAGGCAAAAAACATATCAAGTAGACCAAAAAAGAGGAAACAATGAAGACCTATAACTTATAAAAAATTAAAATTGGAAAATAAAATTATTATTCTTTAAATAGTATAAGCTCTAACTCTTCTTTTTTTTTTCGCCAAAAATTTACAATTTTTTGTAAATACGAAGCAACTTGTGCTGACACATTATTTAACATTTAGTTCAAATTTTTAATCGAAACTATTTAAATTCGATTAAAACACGACATTAATATTATTTATATGATGAAGAATATAGTTTATCAACAATTTTTTATTATTGACGCAACAAACACGTGCAATGCACGTACTCTAAGACTAGTATGAATAAAATGTTCACAGGCCGATACACGATTACAATGTGGTAAATTCTGCCTAAATATAGAAACCATGTGTCACATACTACACAAGGCAAACCAGTAAGAACTTTTGATTTTTCAGATCTAATTTGGATTAAATCTATTTACTAAAAGATGGACTAATCTAAGGAAGATTCATGAAAAAAAAAAAGAAGAAAAAAAGAGATGATGGCTGAATTGCAGAAAGTAGAGTAAAGGAAAACGAACCAATTGAGCCCCATCTTCCTTAAAGCTAGTAATAAGAACCTGGGTACATTTTGTTACAAACTTTATGCATGACCAAGGCAGTGATGAGAGACCAAGATATTTACTCAAAGGAGTAGGGGCTTCATTAATAGTACAGACAGTGTTGTCAAAGGCAAAAGGTTTAAAAAGGGTCAAGTCTATCGGAGCTTTAAGCGCAAAGCGCAATTAAAGTATGGGCTTTAGTTACAAAAGGCGCAACGAAGAAAAAAATAAAAATATATATGTCATGCAAGAAAGCAGTGACAATTTCATTCATAATGATTTCCTCAACAATTTATATATCTTTTTGCCAATCATAGTTATTGTTTTGTACTGCTTTATTCAAAATAGAACTTATAGGCAATGAGGCGCACACCTCGGTGCCTTGCCTACACTGAAGCGCAGCCTAAGTGAGGCGAAGCGCATACCCTGAGCTTTCTTGAGTTTCAGGGCTTAAGCGCGCCTCAAATGAGCCTTTGACAACACTGGTACAGACTAATACATGTCTGTACCTATAGAAGACAGGGGGCCAGGAGACTTGCTTCCTTATGTAGATGGATCAAATATGTATAGTCATGCAACATTCTTACAATATTGCCAATTGTTTTAAGAAAAAGTAACTTCACAAAAGGTAACCAGGTAACAAGAAAATATCTAAAATCAAAGAGCAGGTCTTCGATAGCACTGTTCTGAGTAAATTCAATACCACGGTGTTTGCTATCTAACATATATCTAAAAGACATGTTTAGATGGCATCACGTGTAAAATCAAAAACAGCAAACTTACCAGGTCATTGTTGCACTTTTCCAAATCCAGAACCTTGATTGCAACAATCTCATTAAGAGGAATGCACAGAGCCCGATACACAGTTGCACTAACACCGTCTCCAACTTCTTCATATAACTTATAATCTTTCGCATTGACAGGGAACTTTTTCTCTGATAGTTGTTCCATAATTGCTAGTTATATTGCAACATAAACAACCTCAAGCACTGCAGAGAAAATAATGTGAGGCTTCTTCCAATTATATAGCATTTTGCTTGTGAACCACAAGATATTTTATAGCTCCAGCTACCTCATGGGAAGAACTTCCCTGAGAATAACTTCAACGAAATAAATTCCTGAAATGCACCAGATCCAATAAGTCGACTTTTATACAGATTGACAAGTCTTATAACCCAACAACAGCGATTGCAATGACTTGCCTTGATCACCTTCAAACACAATACTGCCTGTGCTACTCATTAACACTTCAACATTAAGCCAGACGAACCTAGCCAATATATTCCGTGAGACCGCTCACAGAGATAAGCTAATATTCAGGCTGGGTACAATCCAGATACACGATGAAGTGGAGTACCAAAATAGTAGAATGCTAGAAGCAATCTGCCACTAAAAGCTGAGGCCTGAGTTAACTCCAGAACTGATAAAGCAATCTGCCATAACAAATGAAAGAAGATAATAAAAACAAAAAAACTGAAATAAGAAGACACACACAAGAGAGAGAGAGAGAGAGAGAGAGAGAGAGAGTGAAATCTAGCACCCAAAAAGTTGCCAAATAAGTTAACTAAAATTTTCAGCTTCTTGAAAAACAATTGCCCTTTTCTTCAGTTGGGATAGTAGGAAATTTCAATTGCATTCCATGTTCTCATATATGCAGGGCTAGTTTGAATTCATTTTACTGACTTGACAGTAATTTTGACTCCCGATGAATACATGTTGACTCGTGGATGACTTGTACTCCAGTCTTCCCACCAGAAAAGGATAAAATGGACAGAAGGTATTTGGGGCAGCCTATTGAAAAAGGAAAACAAGATCATCTATGTGAAACGTACTTATTTTTGTCGTCACATTTTCATTAAACCCACTAGGAGTTATCTTTAAATAGACTAGTATATTAGGTGGCATTTGCTTCAAAAAAAATTGAAAAAACTTGTTTTGGATTAAAAAAAAATTGCATGTTTTGCAAATAAAAGGAAAAACTGTTTTTCAACCAAAGAGCAACAAGGAGAAGTTTTTCAATTTTTCTTTATAACCTAGAAGTCCCCTAAGCCAGTGGCGCACGCTCACAAACCCAATGATTAATGGGCCAATTCCTCTACCATTCTCCACTTAAATAATAATACCATTGCGCGGCAGGGATTGAACCCATGACTTTGCGCCTAACCCGCATATCACAAGTTGAACCCATGACTTCGCGCCTAACCCACACATCACAAGTTGCGCTCTTATCACTAGACCATAGCCTTCCGGCATTTAATTTTTGCAATAACTGAAAGTATTCAAAAATTTTGCAAAATTTAAAAACTTTTTATTCTTGGTGGTTTATTGAAGAACAGTTTTTGCACCAAAAAAAAATGTTGAAAGATTCTGGTTAAGACTCTTCAGCAAATTTTTGAAAGCAAGCACACGAGTTATTTGAACTAATAGTTTGAAATGCAAAAAGATGGAGAAATTGGTCAAAGAGATGTCATATTAAACCGAGAGTAACATAAAGTATAAATAATTTAATAAATTGTTTTTTATAACGTAATACATATAATAAAATTCATTAGCAAATGAAAAGAATTGTTGTTTTAGGAAAATATTGAATTTTTCTAACGAATTAAAATAGTAAATAGATCAATGCATTTGTGGTCTACTCTACCCCCATTATCCCAAATACTCCCATTTAGGTGCTTTTTATCTAGTACTGAAGACTCTTTAATTTGGGACCACATATGATACCCGAGCACTGCAAACGGGGGATGCAAGAAAACTACCAACTTGACCCTCAACCCAAGTTTCATACATTGTAATTCACCAACTAACATTGCCAGCAAAATTTAGTTGAGGCCCCCTTAACATAGAAAGTCGTGAGCAAAAGTCCCTTCAGAGATTAGGCGACTTTCTTGTGTTATTTCACCCACTTTATGTCATCTTTGTGAAAAATAGTGAAGAGGCAAAGCAAAAATGTGGCTTTTTCTCGCAAGGGCAAGCAGTGTGTTTAACTACCATGTCAATTATTTATTCATCAAAATATCAGCTTGAACTTTCTAAGTTTTTAAATTAATCAGAAATGGCAATCAAACACTCATCCTACATCAGAAAAAAGATAAGTGCAGTTAAAAACTTCCCACGAATCATGATACTACTCAATCAATAAAGCTTTTTTTCCAAAATCAGAAGTTCATAAAATGTCACTAAGCTTTTAGAAAAACTTTGCTTCTTCAGTTGTCGATGTCTCCTGCGAGAGTACATTCAGCTAATAAAGCAATTAAGTCAACAACAGAACAGCAAGTCAACATCTAAAATCAGCAATCTGAAAAACAAAGTAGAGTCCCAATAACTCCAAGTCCAATGCAGCTGAATCAAATAAATCGCATCAAAATCTAACATTTTGTAACATTTCAACATATAAGTAACACTAAATGAATCCAATAAACAAGTAAAAGTGACAGATATTGGACCATCGCTGATAATTATGAAGTTGAACGACTATAACTATCTTAAATCTGACACCTGGACAAGTGTAACATCAAATTTCAATCTGAAATCAGTACAGACCTAGGGTTCCGATGCAATAGAGGAAATTTCGAGAGCTGAATCTAACTATAGAGAATGAAATCCGGTGAAAACGCCGCCGTTTTTGTAAGGTGAATTGGCGATGAAACCGTTCGACTACTCCGCCCTTGATGATGCTACTATTAGAATCTGAAGATATAGTTCTTTCTTACCTTGCAGTTAGTCGTCCCCTGTTCTTCTGATCGAATCTTCGCCGTTTATTGAAGAGGGAGAAAATTTCGGCGACAGTACATAAAAGGACTTCGGTTTTACCTTCGATGAAAAAAGGAACGTCTTTTGGGAAAAGAATCGGAAAAAAAAAAGGGGACTGATATTTTGGAAATAATAACAGCACTATTGAAAAGGGGACTCATTGAAAAGGTATTCCGTTTTTCAATTCTTTTTATTTTTTTCTTCTCTGTATTCCGTTTTTATTTTCAATTTTGCCTAAACATAACTTATAAGGAGGTTTTAGGCCTACCTGGCCTTTTACAATATTCAATTTAAGAAAATATTAGACATATATTTATGTGACCGAAACATTGATAACATCGAGAAATAATCTCCATATATATATATATATATATACTCATAGTTAACATTTTAATATTTGTAGGAGTATTAACATGGTCTAATATATATATATCATACTGTACTACTATATTAAAAGCACGAATGTGTTTAGCGAAATGTCGTTCGCTTTTTTTACCATTTAAAAATAGAGTTCATACTTGCCAAAATAGTCATTCTAACTAACTCCCTAATATTTACGAATAATCATTTAATTATTTTCCTAATATTTAGGAATAGTCATTTAATTTTACTAAAAATCTTTCCTTATTTAAAATATATAAGACTCTTAATATTTAGGATTTTAAAAATAATAAAAAATTTATCTTATTTAAATTAAGAATAACATACTTTTCATATTGAGATAATATGAATTACGTATATTTTTTTTATGGGCGTGGGACTCATTTGAGGGACAAATAGTAGGTTTATTATTCAAAATTTTAAATCAAAAGATCCAAAAGCCATTAGTAATGCATTTTATTTTGAATTTATTTTTGAAAGAATTAGTTTCGAATTTTTAAAAAAAAATTCCTTGGTTTTAAATTTTTGTTGTCTTTTATACTTTGTATGTATTCTGACTCATTATTATCTTTAATTATTAATATAACTATGAAACTCGTGACAAATATCAATGTTAATAGTAAGATTCTCATAATAAAGCCATCCAAATAATAAAAGAGATCATATTTCAGCAAAATTATTAGTGAATTAAGAGAGATAATATTCAATCAGTTGAATTCAAGTACCATCACTAAATATTATAGAAAGTTGAATTCAAGTACCCTCACTTAATATTATCAATGAATAACTTTTAATTAGTTAACTATAATTTGCTTTTATAATTCAAAAAAATAAAAATTTATATGCAGATAAAAATAGATATTGCAAATACTAGTATAATAATTTATCTGAATACACATTACATGAAATGTTAATAGATTTTTATACCTTTTGAGAATTATATTACATAATGATACTTTCATGTTGGTTAAGATAATAATAATAATAATATATTAAAATTTCACCTTAATTTTTATGATAACTATTTTATTTTTTTTCAGAAATACATGTAGTTGGGTTTAAACAATACCCATCTGATTGAATTATTCGTATGATAGTTAAACCTAATAATATAGAGGCTTTTATTTTTTGTATTTTTCACTTTGATTTTCAATAAGGAATAAGATGAAAATTATATTATGTATTTGAGAAAACAGAATTTATTTTTTAAGGTCATGAAGAATATAATATTGTTACAAGATATATTTGAGTACGAGTTAGCATATTATTCTGTCACGTCGAGCAACTAAAGTAAATGCACAATTCGTATACAAAAATCATGATAAGACATTAGAATAAGTATATGCGATGTACGTATTTCTTTGAATCACAGGTCATCCCCAAAAGGGATAGTTTCAAGTACCTTGGGTCGGTTATTCAGGGGATGGGGAGATCAACGAGGATTTCACACACCGTATAGGGGTAGGGTGGATGAAGTGGAGGTTAGCGTCTGGAGTCTTATGTGACAAGAAAGTGCCACCGATTCTCAAAGGTAAATTTTATAGAGCGGTAGTCAGACCAACTATGCTGTATGGGGCTGAGTGTTGGCCAGTTAAGAACTCACATATCTAGAAGATTAAAGTAGCTGAAATGAGGATGTCGATGTGGATGTGCGGGCATACTAAGATGGATAAAGTTAGGAATGAAGATATCCGAAAGAAGGTGGGCGTAGCTCCCATGGATGACAAGTTGCGGGAAGCAAGGCTTGGATGGTTCAGGTACGTTCAGAGGAGAACCCCAGATGAGCCGGTGAGGAGGTGTGAGTGGCTGGCTTTAGTGAGTACGGGGAGAGGTAGAGGGCGGCCTAAGAAGTATTGGAGAGAGGTGATCATGCAGGACGTGGCGTGACTTTAGACTACCGAGGACATGGCCCTAGACAGGAAGATGTGGAGGTCGAACATTAAGGTTGTATCGTAGGAGATCGTTGTACATATTTCTACGGTGCACCAGAGTGAGGCTAGCCTGTTAGGACTCAGTCTTAGACTGTTAGTGGTTAATGTTGAGTCACACTACTTTTTTGCTCCACTTAGTGCCGAGTTGTATCCACTAGTTATTGTTTTGATGTTCATCTATTTTTTGGTTCTGGTGATGCTGTTATTTGTTTCATGGTTTATTTTGATGGTGCTGATATATTGCCTCTTTTTGTCTTCTTGAGCCGAGGGTCTTTCGGAAACAACCTCTCTACCCCTTGGGTAGGGGTAAGGTTTGCGTACACACTACCCTCCCCAGACCCACTAGTGAAATTTAACTGGGTTGTTGTTGTTGCATCATTTTCAAGAGCTTGTACTTTTTAAAATTTTATTTTATTAACTCAATTATATATGTTAATAATATTTATATAATTTTAAAAAAATTTATACTCACTGATATGAAGTACACGCGCATTGCGCATACTCTAAAGCCAGTTATCTAAATTTTACAGAAGTTATGTGAAATTTATGCATTATTAATTTTATTATAAAATAAGATATAGAATAAAATAGAAAAATTATTAATATATTGATTAAAATAACTAAAAAGACAAAAGATTATCCTAGTATAGAGCAACCTTTTTATTTTGTTTGAGAAATAGTTACATATTTTAAATATACTGTGTACTAGTAATTTTATTCATATTACGAGAAGAAGAATACGCATTAATTCTCCTGAAGGAAGTGGCTCCCTACTACAACTTACAAAAGTCTAACAAGAAATAATATGTGCATTACACTTATTGCATTACTAATTTTCGAATGACTTGGCTAAAATAAAAAAACTCTTTAATATTATTATATTACTTTGTAATTCTTTAAGCAGTAATGAGTAATGACTTAAGGGAGAAATCAGTACCGATCAAAAACACTCTTGATTTAGGAAGTATAAATGAAATAACTAAGACGTTGCCCAATAAAATTTGAAATTTAAATAATTTCACTGAATGCACAACGAATACGTCAAAACTTTGTTACTCATACTATATGTAATATGTGTACTTTGGTGGAAGTTTGAAGTTATCTCAATTCTCTGTCTTAAATTGTAACGTTCACAACTTTCCATTATTGGAATGCATTAAGTTCACGGCATTGCTTGCTTGGTAGTATAAACGGAAAAAATCATAAATATGTAAATTTACTTTTGACCATTCTGTTCAATTGTTATTATTATTATTTTTTAAATCGTTGTAATAAGAGCATATGAAACGATTGTCGGTATTACATTCACTCATAATACTGTTCATGCTCCAATTAATTAAACAAATAGATTTACTATGCTAATATGAATTAAATTTTACAATATGTGTGATAATTTGTTTACAAACGGCCGAATTTATGAGCGATCAATTTTAAAAAATCACAGAGATCCAATAAATTTGCTCAAATTCTAACACTGTAAAACATAAGTTATTTCACTTGTTACACTCAACAAAGCTACATAATTTTCAACCCCAATTTTTTAAGAAAATCAGAAATTTAAGAAACGTGTGTGCATCGAGATTCTTCGAATTGATAATCAAAATCAGATATAATAAAAGGAAGAAATAACGAACATCTCAAAACTATGATACCATAAAATTCACGTTAAAAAGTTAAAATTCTTTTTTGACTAGCATTGCTTAATTGTTTTTCAACCAATTCCTTAATACTACTGTTAAAACTTCAACAAAATTTAGATCTCGGAAAATATATAAAGGGAATATGCTTTTTGAAACCCAAACTAAATAAAGGAACAGCACACTATGATCTGCAATGGTCCCACCAAACAGCCACCTCATCAACTCAATCACCGTACATCTTCGTTGAAGCACGCGCCTCCTGTCGGAACGGTTAGAATATACGGCGTCGTCCACAAAAAGTACTCAGGTACATTACGGTCGTGAACTACGGTCGTTGTTACTTTCGAGTCTTTAAATTGTTAAGATTTATATCATCAGCCACGTGTATGGTTGGATGAATCCACGTCACTAATAGTCCACGTAGTCAAAGTTTCGATATGCCAAAAGTGTGCTATATTTAGCTGCGAGTTCACTGTTCATTCTCTTTTACTTATGGAAACAGCAAAAAACATAAAATTGACACATTTCGTTGGCCAACTACTTATTTGTACTAGAAACTCCTCACTTTTTTTCTCCTAACTTCAACCAAATCACTATCTGGAAATTTATAGAAACAAGAATTATCCTTTTGAGTGAATGTTTCTTTATTGGTCCACGTAAAATTTACAGGTTGGTGTTTAGACTTTTGAGCACATTTGTCACTACACCGACAGTGGAAGCAAAGGATTTTTAGTACTTGAGACCAAAGTTAAGAATTTTGAGGAAAACTAATTACTAGGGTTTACTTTTCTTGACACTCCATCGTCAGTTTTGGTATTTCGGTAATTTTTTTTTTGGCAATTTGAAGCTAAGTATATGAGAAAAGATGGAGCTTCACGTTAAGAACTCTCCCATTTTTGTTATTTCAGTGTTTTGTCTCAGTGCCAAGCTGTAAGCAGTACTCCTGTGTCAAGTTCTTGTTAACACTTGGAGTTAATTTTTTCCTTATTTTGTAACGTGTTTTTTTGTTAGCCAAGTTTCTGGAATTTAATGCGAGGATTAAATTAGTATAATCAATGTTTTAATAAGTGGTGGTAATAGTAGTTTGAGGAACTTCTGGGATTTTTTTTTTCTAGTGTATTTATTTATTTATTTATTTATTTATTTTTGCTTAGAATTGGGGAATAGAGTTGGAGAAA